CCCTGCTCTCGGGTCTGCCTGGGCCAGGGGGTCTCCCAGGGAAGGCCCCCCGCCCTAGCTGATTCAGCACCACCTGACCTGCTGCTGTCTCTCCCGCCGGGGGACCCTCGGGCTTCGGTCTCTTCAGCGCACGAGTCCTTGTCTGACATTATCCCATACGCTTGTTGGCTCACTGTCCCTCTCCCTCCCTTAGAAGAGGCAGGTGGAGGAGAGCGGGGCGGCCTTACATCGGCGTTCCCAGAGCCCGGGGGGCTCCGAGGCAGTAGGCAGACAGCAGGTATTTGCTGAGTGAGTGATACAAGGTTACGTATTAGGTGCTCAGTAAATATTTATGGGAGGAATGCACCCATACCCAGGGACACTATACAGTCCCTCAAATCAGGGGCACTGAGGTCCTGGTCCTCTGCGCTGAGCAGGGGGCCCCCAGCACGGCACACAGTAGGTGCTTATTTCATCATGGCCAAAGGGAACGGAGACTCTCCCGACCGTAGTTTCCACCCGCACATTTGAGGAGACTCTACACCTCCCTCGCGGAAGGAGCGAAAGGAGCTCTCTGCCAGGCAGGGGCAAAATATAGCCTCTTGTAAAGATCTATTTTTAAAACTCAAACACAACATTAAAGCAGCAAGAGCATCCCCATCATCCCGCTGCCTGTCACACAATCGAATTGATTTTTCTGTCTCTTTCCCTGATGGTACTTGCACACATGTATTTACCTAACTGTGAGCCGTGGATGGGCCATTTCCTATTATGTTTGCATCTGAAGTGGGGTATTTTTAATCACCCCTACTGGCTTGCCTCCAGCCAGCTATGGTGTCAGCCGGCCTCAGCCCCATGATTCATCCAGACGGCTCTCCGGCTGCCCCGCTGTCTCCTCTCCCTGCTCCGGCCCCTCCCAGACACACCCTGCACCTGGCTAAGGACCCGGGGCGTCTGAGGATGGAGGTCCCCCGCCTGGGGGGCCCTCGGTCCCCCATTCCGTCCTTATGTGTCCACATCATTCCCCCATGACAGACGGGGAGACAGGATCGAGTGCTCCGGCCCCCCAGGCCCCACAAGCAGGTCTCCGAGCAGCACCCGCACCCTGGGCAGGGTCAGGCTGTCCCGGAGCACCGGGCTGGACCGGGCCCGGCCACCGGTGAAACACCAGCCCTTGCCGGACCACACGTTTGATGGTCTGGAGCGCCAAAGTGAGGTGAGGAATGGCGTGCTCCTTTTTCAGGAAGTCAGTGACGAGCATCTTCAGACTGGCCAGCCGCACAGCTCAGGCGCGGCAAACGGGACTTGGGCTCAGGCCTCATGCAGATTTTGGACACCGCTCCGCGCAGCCCCTGAGCTACGAAAACATCCCAGATGCTGGGCTGGACCCTCTGGGTCATGGAACAGGTGCCCGCAGGAGAGAGCCTGTCCTCTGATGGGGCCACCGGAAATCCAGCTGCTGAGAGGCTCTGTAGGCCGACGCTGTGTTCCTGCCCGTTGGGGAGGGCACATCCCAGGGACCCCACGTGCCCCTGCCAGCTCGGACGACTCGGGACCCCCGAGGGGTGTCGGGGTACGATCGGCATTCTAGGGCCTTTGCAGTTTGCAACAACACCTCTCTGTCCCTCCTCTTCCTCCTTCCTGGTCCGCACACCTTAGGAAGACGGTTTGATTACGACATGCAGCTGTCCCCCAGAAAGGGCTTGATCTTTTCTAGGCTGCCCAGTGGATAAATGGTCAGGACAAACGGAATGAGATGTAAACCACATCGGAAATATGTGAAATTTCAGAAATTTCATCCTTCGCAATTCCTTTTTTTTTTTTAAAAGATCTTATTTATTTGAGAGAGAGAGAGAGAGAGCGCACAAGCAGGGGGTAGGGGTAGAGGAAGGAGGAGGAGCAGGCTCCCTGCGGAGCGGGGAGCCCGATGCGGGGCTCGATCCCAGGACCCCAGGATCATGACCTGAGCCGAAGGCAGACGCTTCACTGATTGAGCCACCGAGGAGTCCCTTAAGCTTCCTCTTCTATGAATGACCAACTCATGTGCTTTGCCCAATTTTCTTTTAAGGTGTATTGTCTTTTCTTCATGATTTGAAGTTTGAGGAACTTCGAGAAAAGAACTTCTACGAGCCCCTCCAACAACATCCAGCCACCTTACCTGGCGCTCTGCCCACAGACCAAAGTCCTGACCTCTTGGAGAGTGAGATGTCTGCGTCCTTTGCAAAAGCCAACCCTCACGTGTGCACCGGCCCCAGTTCAGGGCTCTGAACAGCCCCTTTCCCTGCACCTTCAGTCTCCCCAGTGATAGTTCACTGCCATTAGCCCACGTAAACACGCTATTTCTCCTCTCACAACCAGAAATAAAATAACCCCCCACCCCGTCCCTTCTCTGCCACCTACTGCCCAAAAACTCGTTGAAAGAGTCTTCACCACTAGCTGTCTCCAATCCCTCTTCCTGCCATTCCCTCTTTTCTCGGTTTGGTTTTTATATGGATAAATACAATTATGACATAAAATTTACCAGTTTTAAGTGACAATTCAATGGCATTAAATACATTCACCATGTTGTGCAACAATCACTACTTACCCATCTCCAGAACCTTATTGCCCCAAACCGGAACTCTGTCCCCATTAAACACTAACTCCCCCACCCATTCCCCTCCTCCAGGTCCCTGAGCAACCACCCTCCTACTTTCTGTCTCTATGAATTTGTCTCTCCTTGGTATCTCATATAAGTGGGATCATACAGTATTTGTCACTTTGTGTCTGGCTTAACTTAGCAAAACGTTTTCAAGGTTCACCTTTGTAGCCTGGGTGTTAGATCTTCATTCCTTTATAAGGCTGTATAACCTATTGTATGTCTATTACCACGTTCTGTTTATCCAGAATGTCTCCACCTTCTGGTCATTGTAAATAACGTTGCTATGAACACCGGTATACGAGCAGCTGTTTTGAGCCTCTGCTTTCAATTCTTTGGGCTATACACCTAGAACTGGAACCACTGCAATCATATGATGGTTTAGCTTTTTGTGCATCTGCCAAACTGTTTTCCCCCGTGGCTGTGCCATTTTACATTGCCACCAGCAATGCACAAGGGCTCCAGTTTCTCCACTCTCACCAATACTTGTCATTTTCTGTGGTTTGTTTTGTTTTGGTAGTAGCCTCCTAATAGGCATGAGGTGCTATCTCATTGTGGTTTAGATTTGCATTTCCCTAATGACCAGCGATGCTGAGCATCTTGCACGTGCTTCTTGGCCATCTGTATATCTTCTTTGGAGAAATGTCTGTTCATGACCTTTGCCTGCTTTCAAGTTGAATTTTTCGTTGGTGAATTGTAGTTCTTTATATATTCTGGATATTAATCCCTTTTCAGATCTATGGTTTGCAAAATATCTCCCATTCTGCAGGTTATACATTCACTCTCTCGATGGCGTCCTGTGATGCACAAAAGTTCTTAATTTTGATGAGGCCCAATTTATTTCTCTCTTGCTGCCTGTACTTTAGGTGTCAAAAAATCATTGCCAAATCCAATGTCATGAAGATTTTCTTTGGTTTTCTTCTAAGAGTGTATAGTTTTAGTTCTTACAATTTTAGGTCTTTCATTTGAGTTCGTTTTTTATACGGTGAAAGGTAAGGGTCCAACTTCATTCTTTTATCTGCATATAGATATCCAGTTTCTCCAGCACAGGCTGTTGAAAAGATGCCCTTTCCCACTGAATGGTCTCAATACCCTTCTCAAAGGGCTTGGGTTCTCTATTCTGTACCATCAGTTCATGTCTGTAAGCCAGGACTATACTGTTTTCGTTACGTAGCTTTGCAGGAAGTTTTGGAATCAGGATGCGTAAGTCCTCCAACATTGCTCTTTCTCAAGATTGTTTTGCCTATTCAGGGGCCCCTTGAGGGTTCCTATGAATCTTAGGATGGGCTTACCTATTCCTGCAAAAAAACACCAAGCACGGGGGCAGGACTGGACATACTAGACTCGACAACTGTTGAGATGCAAGTGTGGGGGGTAACTCAAGCGTGGTGGGTGCAGGGGTATTAAGGAGGCAGCGAGAGAGAAGTTGGAGAGGTGGGCTAAGGCCCGATCCCACTCAGTAGGAGCCACGGAACTGACGGAGCTGACGGAAGCTCATCCGTCAGCTGTGCAATGAGTAATAGAGGAGGGCAGTGGAGGTGCTACATGGGCAGGGAGGAGGGGCAGCCTGGACACCGCCCTTGTCCCACCTCCCCCTCACTGCCTACTGGCCACCAAGTCCCTCTCTATTGCAGGGAGTGTCTGAAGAAGACATGGAGGCAGTCAGCCTCAGGGAGAGCTGAGAGGGCGCTGGGACATCCAGGGGAGCCCCCCCTTCCGAGAACTTGAAGCCCCACACGAGGGAGGGAACGTGCAGGCAGCACACAGACCACTTGGAACATTCACACTGCATAAGATACAAAAATGTCACAGGGATCCGATAAAGAAAATCAAAGGGCAGAGAGAGAGGCCTACAGGGGAAATGAGGGGGTGAGAGCGGCGTCTGGGCCAGTTTCCTTTCCTGCCAAGTAAAACAAAACTAGGTCCCCAAAGTGGTGAGGTCAAGCCTTCCTTCTTGCGTACCACGAAAATGGACAGACGTTGCTAAAACTGAAGAGCGCCAGCCTGGGTGGCATCAAGGAAAGAACCGTGGGCTCTATGAGCTTGGCAGGCAGGAGAACAGCTGAGCCCCAGGCCCCGGGGGGCGAGGGCAGCTCTCAATTCCATTCCAAGGGCCGCGGCTCACCTGGGCTGCTCCCTCTTACTCCAGAAAATTTGGAAAGGAAAAAAAAAAAGTAGGACAGCATCAAGATTCCACACCTGCTACTTTTAACTCACAAACCAAAGGATTTATTAATCCAGTTTCCCTTCCCTTGCCGAACTGCAGAAGCATGACGCAGATACCCCAGTACAGCCGCGTGGAGGTGTCGGAAAGCTCCACCGGAAGCCACCCCAGCGTCACGGGATGGGCCCCTGTTTGGCCACAGGACTGCAATCACAGCGTGGCCTCAAGGCCGTACGCCCAGCAGACTGACCCTTGGGTCTCCAGCGTCTGCCAAGGGGCACCGGGTGGGCCCAGGGGCGTGAGAAGCACCACGCAGGCGTCTTGAGAAGGCTTCAGGCTGAACACAAGTGCGCCTGTCCCTCCCCCTTCCAGAAGGGGCGGCTGGCCAGCCTCAAGGCTGCTGGGTCAGAGGCCCGTCTCCCTCGGCAGCATCTCCCTCTGGCTGATGGTCAGAAGGCCCTGGGAGGTGGTCTCCACACGCCATCCCGCGCCTGGGCCGCCGTGCTGTCTCTCCACCTTCTGCTACTTCTGCTTGTATTCGGGGGCCTTCCCGCTGGGCGGCAGCTCCCTGTGGATCAGGCTGAGGCCGCAGAGGATGAGGAACACGCCTCCCCACCACAAAACCTCCTGGCACTCTCCATACAACACAAAGCCCAGGAAGGCCTGCGGGACAGAGACCACGGTGAGTCCACATCCACACGAGCCCGCAGGACTCTAGCGCAGCAAGGAGGCACCACCTCACTCCCCCAGGGGCTGACGGCCCTCCTGGGGCAGGAGGAAAGGTCTGGAGCTGGAAGTTGGGGGCCTGAAACCCAGCTGTCACCTTCCACAAGTCACTATTCATGTCTGGCTCACCTGGAGAGGGGAGGAGGGTGCCTTCCTCACAGCCCCGGCCCCGAGCGAAGTGCACAAGAAAGCCCAGCAGAGGCCAGCCGCTAAGGCCCAGCACACAGCGGGCGCCTGGTGTTTGCTGATCCAAACCAGCCGGCCAAGCCCTCCCTCCCTCGACGGCAGGACCAACTGGGCTCAGCCCTGCCTGGCTGACATCAGGCTATCAGAGGAAAGAGTGGCCCCCCTCCACGTCTCACGCTCAAGTTCACAGAGCCCTAGGCGTCCAGCTAGCACAGAGGTGGCCAAGACTTCAGAATGAGGGCTGCAGCCTGGAAGGGCAGCATGCAGGTAGGCTTTCTTACAGTCGGACTTCATTCCCAGCTAGCTTCAGAGTTCGGCCAAGTTTGAGATGAGAGGAGCAGCCCCCAGGGGTCAAGCCACAGCCCACTCTGCGTCAGCTCCTGTCTGCAAGGGCGGGAGTTCCCCAACTCACCCAGAACCCAGCTTTGGGACAGGGGGACTGTACCCTCGGGCCACTCACCGAGCTGAGGATGTTTGAAAACGTCACTGTGACTGATGCAATGGCTGAAGACATGGAGAAACTGAGGCCCCGGCTAAAGAATGTCCACATCAGAGAATTGGTGGTCGCCATCACAATGACTCCCAAGATGCAGAATCCCATGTTCACCTGCGGGAGAAAGTGTCACTGCGGCCACGCTCAGCCACGGCGGACCTGTGGCCCCCCTCACAGCACACCCAGGGGCCTGATCACCAGCAGCCGGGCCCCTACTGAGACCCCACCACAGCTCCTCAGAGCTTTCCTGCACAGGACTTCACCTAACCCTATGCTCAGCACACCCATTTTACAGCTGAAATAAACTGAGACTTATTTGACTGTCTTGCTGGCCATGTGCCCTGGGGCAGAGCAAAATGCTAATCCGTAACCAGTACTTTGTTTAGAACACCAGTCCCTTACTGGTGTTGAAGATCAGTGCCGGAGGGCAAGCAGTTATTAGTCAGCATGTACTGTGAGCAAATCAGGGGCAGAGTCCTCACCTCCAGGGATCAGATAAAGCGTTAATTCACCAAGCTTCCTCCCATCCTGTGCAGGCTACAGGACACGCAGGCCAGTCCTGCTGGGCATTCTGGAGTTTTTACTCTGTGCCAGGCCCTGTGCCCAGGTGTTTTAAGTGCATTCTCATTTATTCCTTAACTTCACTTTACAGATAAGGAGCCTAAATTAGTAACTTGCTTATTAAAGTGCCTATAACCCGTGGGAGCCACCAGGATTCAAACCCAGGCAGTGCCTCCATGCTCTTAACCAGGACACAGCCCTGCTCAGGGAACCCCCCACCCCACTTGACTAGTGATCCCAGGCATCACTTGGAGTACTTGCAGGCTTTTTCTTTTTTTTTAAGATTTTATTTATTTGAAAGAGAGAGAGAAAGCACGAGTGAGGGGGAGCAGCAGAGGGAGAGGGAGAAGCAGACTCCCCATGGAGCAGGGAGTCCGACGTGGGGCTCGATCCCAGGATCCCGGGATAATGACCTGAGCCGAAGGTAGACGCTTAACCGACTGAGCCACCCAGGCGCCCCTTTTCTTTCTTTCTTTTTTTTTTTAAAGGTGAGAGCCTGGAAAGGAGAGGATCTTAAGCCTCCTACTCAACATGCAGATCCCTTGCTTGGTTTTGAGTTAGAAACCTGCTTGCAGACAGAGATGCCTCCTCTGGGGTGACCATCTAAATAGCATACTCTTCTTTTTTTAAAAGATTTTAAGTAATCTCTACACCCATTGTGGGGCTCGGACTCACAACCCTGAGACCCAGAGGTGCATGCTCTCCTGACTGAGCCAGCCAAGCGCCCCTCATACTCTTTCTTTCCAGTGTCGTAAGGAGAGTGTCTTGGGGCACCCGAGTGGCTTAGTCTGTTAAGCATCTGCCGTTGGCTCAGGTTGTGATCCTGGGGTCCTGGGATCAGGCCCCACATCGCATCGGGCTCTCTACTCAGCGGGGAGCCTGCCTCTCCCTTTCCCTCTGCCTGCCACTCTGCCTATTCGTGATCTCTCTCTCTCTGTCAAATAAATAAATAAAATCTTTTTTTTAAAAAAAGGAAAGGGAGTCTTTGCAGAATTTTCACAAAAGCACTGTATGAACCAGTGGCAACCTGCTTATGTAGTTATGAAGGCCTGGTGCACAACTACACAGACTAGAAAACCTCATGGTTCAGAGTTACTCATCTTCCTTTGGAGCACTTCAAGAATTACACCTAACAGGGCACTAATCTCAAGCATGGTGGTTCCCACTGGATTAGCCCTTAAGAGGCTTACCCGCATGGACCAGTCTGTCCACTGTCCAGGTCAGGAACTAACCCTGGGGTGCTGGGGCAGTGAAACCCCTCGGGCAGCAGACACTGGCCTACCACTCGGGATGGGAGGGGCAGAGGTCCACTTCAGCGGACGTGTGGAGGCCGTTTAGGAGTTCTCAGCAAGGGGATGGGAGAGGGGTGTCCAGCATGCTTCTCCGTCCTCTCTTATGCCTACGTGTCCCAAACTCCCAATTTTCCTGGCAGCAGGGTATATGGGTCAAAACACTCGTTAATTACGGAGCAAAGAGATGGGCAAAAGGCTTCTCACCTTAAGAGTCACGTGGAGAGACATGTTCAGGCATAAGGGGCTTAAAATGAAAGGTAGAGAGTGGATGCAGGAAAGCGAACTAGCCCAATCGGAGGACAGATTGTAGGTCCCTGGTAGGGAAGACGCTCAGGTCTCTTACCGCCTACACTGGACGAGGATTTGCCGGGGTTTAGAATGCAGGGATGCTCTCCCGCCCCAGCTGACTGCAGCGCCCGGCTGCGGACCGGGCGCAGACCCGCGGGCGTGAGGCTTTGCCCTGCGCCCCCAACCCCAACCCTCCCGGAGCCTCGCGGGCCCCGCAGCGCCCCTCCTCCGCCCGGGCCCACCCGCCCGCCGGCCGCAGCGCCGCCCCGGGCTCGACCTCGCTGCCGAAGGCCAGCTTGGCGGAGGCGGCGGCCAGAGCCCCGAACGCGCCGGCGCACAGGCAGTTGAATACACCCCAGAAGCGGCGCCGCATCGCGCCGGCCTGCAGGTGCGGGGGGAAGTCCGCGGGGGCGTCGGGGTAGGCGGCCGGGCACACCGCGCCGCCAGGGGGCTGCGGCCTCTCGGCCATGGTGCCCGCCGCCACCTCTCCCGGCGCCCGGCGCCCCCGCCACCAGCGGGACCGAGCGCGCGCCGCGATTGGGCGGCGGCCCCACGTGACGCGGCGCCCACGTGAGCGGGGAGGCCAATTCGGGCGCGGCGAGGGCCTCCGGGGGGCGGGGCCGGGGGCGCAGCCGCGCCCCGGGGGGCTTCCGGGGGGCGGGCGGCAGCCTGTGGCGTTGGGCTTGGGTGTACCCGGGAGCCGTCCGGGGCTGGCGTCGGAAGCCGCGGCCGTGCCGCTGTGGTTGCTGCTGTAGAATAACTATCCGTGACCCGGCCGTTTCAGCCTTTGCCGCTGAGCGCGGCCCAGCATCCGCGTTCCCCAGGAATTTGTTAAAAATGCCGAATCCCGGGCCCGCCCGACACCCATTGATCAGAATGTGCATTCCAGCAAGACCCGCTGGGGATTCACGGGCACCTTCCAGTTCGGGAGGCGCGAAGTGGAAAGACGCCTCAGCAGAGGGCGCTAGAGACCTCCACACTCGGCCAGGAGGCGGGCTCCGGTGAGGGCCTCTGACAAATCAAAAGGCCCAGATGGATACGCGCTCACTGTAGGATTTAGAAAATGTAAGTCACCCATAATCACTCTGCTCAGATACCCAGGACTAACATGACTTCCCATTTCCTATGCACTTAAATGTTTAAAATGTTTGAGTGTAAAAAATGGTACATGTCTTTCCAAGAGAAGTGTTGGACTACTTCTCTCCAGGAAAATCATTATTAGAGTACTGTCTAGGCACAGTTTTATATATAGCACACGTTTAAAAACAGTTTACATAATCTGTATTGGACCTTTTTAGTATGATTTCACACTGAACTGTTGAGCAGCATTTTTTTTTCCATTCAGGAAGTTTTCGTGGAAGTCCTTCCTTGCCACTCTCTCTCACAGGGTGGTTTTGTGGCTCAAATTAAAGCATGGATAGCCCTGCTAACTGCTATTTATAGACTGAATTGTGTCCCCCCCAAAAAAGATATGTTTAAGTCCTAATCCTCCACACCTGTGAATATGACCTTACTGCAGATGTACCCAAATTAAGAAGTCATTAGCGTGAGCCTTAATCTGACTAGTGTTCTTCCAGGAGACAGAGACACAGGGAGAAGGCCATGTGACAACGGAGGCAGACTGGAGTGATGCTTCTACGCACCCAGGACCGCCAAGGACTGCTGTCGGTACCACAAGCTAAGAGAAAGGCATAGAACAGATGCTCCCTGAAGCCCTCAGAATGCCCTTGCTGACACCTTGAATCTGGACTTCTAGCCTCCAGAAACTGTGGGAGAATACGTTTGTTTTTAGCCCTCCAGTTTGTGGTCATTTGTTCTGGCAGCCCCCAGACACTCCCATAGGTGGGTAAGACCCAACCAAGCCTCTTTAGTACCAGCTTCAGTGTTCCAACCCTTCTCCCACCTCCAGGGCAATCTCAGTTTCTACACTCTATATGCTGAATTTTATTCTTTTTTTTTTTTTTAAGATCTACACCCAACATGGGGCTTGAACTCACAACCCCAAGACCAAGAGTCCCACGCTCTACCATCAAGCCTGCCTGGTGCCTCCTACACTGATTTTTAGTTCCCTTTTTTGTTTCTGGCTCTTAGGGATTGACTATTACTCTTTGGGAATTCAACTGTGCATTAATTTTTTTTTTTAAGATTTATTTGAGAGAGAGAGAGAGAATGAGATAGAGAGCATGAGAGGGAAGAGGGTCAGAGGGAGGAGCAGGCTTCCCGCCGAGCAGGGAGCCCGATGCGGGACTCGATCCCGGGACTCCAGGACCGTGACCTGAGCCGAAGGCAGTCGCTCAACCACCTGAGCCACCCAGGCGCCCCTGTGCATTCATTTTTTAAATTGTTTTTCCTCAGCTTTATTGAGGTATAATTTACAACCCATAAAATGAAGCCATTTTGAAGAGTTTAATTTTTAGAAGATTTATAGAGCTGTGTGCAATCATCACCACAAACCAACACATTTCCACCACATCAAAAAAGTTCCCATCATGCCCTTATGGTCACTTGCTCCCATCCCCAGCCACAAGCCACCGAGGATTTGCTTTCTATCTCTATAATTTGCCCTTTCTGGACATTTCACATAAATGGGATCATACAAGTATGTGGTCTTTTGGGCCTGGCTTCTTCCACTTTTTTTTGTTGTTGTTGAGGTTCATCCATGTTGCCTCTTTTTATTGCTGCGTATAGTGTTCTGTTATGTGTAAAAAATGCCCGGTATCATTAGGCCTTAGGAGAATGTCAGTGATGAGCTATAACGCAAGCTCTGGGTTGGCTACACTAAAACATCTGGCAGTAACAAGAGCTGAGGAGGATGTGGAGAAGCTGAACCCCCTGCTGGTGGGAACATGGAGGGTACAACCAAACAGTGTATCCGGAAAGGGGAGGTAGATCTTAGAAAGTTAAACACAAGCTTACCAGCAACTCTATTCCTAGGTATCTACTCAAGCCATAGGAAACACAGGTCCCCAGCAAGACTGGTACACAAATGTTTACAGCAGCCTTATTCATAATAGCCCCCAAACTGCCAATAGCTCAAATGTCCATCAAATGTTAAGTAAATCAAATGTGGCATCTCCACACAATGGAATATGATTCGCAATGAAAAGGAATGAAGTGGTGACACACAGAAGTTCCTTGAGGGCAGGAGGTTTTGTTTGCTTTGTTCACGGATGACCAGGGCATATAATAGGTGCTCATTAAGTATATGGTGAATGGACATGTCTTTAATGTGGCTCTCCCAAGTGAACAATGTAAATCACTTTTATTAAACTGTTAATTTTTAAAGGATTTTATTACATTTTGAAAAATGGCCATATTTACAGTCATAAAAAAATGCTCAGGAGAATACTGAAAGTAAGGATACAAAAATAATCTATATTAACAAGTTTGCCTTTTGTACATGCTACTCAATAGGATTAACATCATGGCAAGTTTTGAAACCACTACGTATTGTTAGAGCTGCTGCTATAAAACTCAAAGGAGATTATGGAAGATAGTATCTAAGGAAAAAATAACCTGGCCAACATCCACTGTAAACCTTAGCTACAGTTTTTTATTTTAAAAAGGCAAAAGGTTTTCCCAGTATTTAGAGCTGATTGAAAGCATTGAAATGGGATGGTAACTTCAAAATAGTATACTGCCGACTGCCACAGGGTGAGTATGGATGCAGAACATTCATCAGAAACTTGAAGTTCAGCCCCCAATGCCACATACACAGTTAGTAATAACGCTACTTGATTCAGCTTTGTCAGATGCACAAGGGTAGGGCTTACTTTTGCAAGAGGAAAGAAATTCTCCAGAAAGGTGATGCCTAGGTAGGTAGTTGACCAAGATCCTTACGATTCATTCCTTTTCTTTTCTTTTAAAAATACATTTTCAGCACGCAACTTTTCTGTCTCCTGAGAAGTAAATTTAAAAAAAAGGAAAAGAAAAAAAAATTAAGGCTCAAATGCTTACAGGAAGTTATTCTTTGCATTCGTGAAGTTTATATTTCAAATTAAGACTACAACTTTCAATTTGTAAATGATTTATAACATTAAACAAGAATCTGATTATGTTAGAGCCTGACAACGGACTGAATTATCCTTGGAATAATAAGGACTGATATATATTTTTTTAATTCATTAAGTTCCCCAAAGAAGGCATTTAAGTGATTTGATGATTGAATTAAACTTTAAACAATCATTCTAAGACCAGGCTGAGTTTATTTAAAGTACTTTTCAGGGCTTACCTCAGCGAGCCTGACATTCTCCTTCTTCAGCCGCACGACATACTGAATCTTCTGATGCAGGTTTTGGTGACCGACCAACTTCCCATTTTCCTCAGCAAGACACTCCACCTGCTTCCTTAACATTTCCATCTCCTGCAGGCAAATCAATCCAGGGAGGGGAAAATGAGCTGCTCTTAATTTTGCTTTTACAGTCATTATTTCGTGCCTCCCAAGAGCACGAAGTAGGTCAACTACTTGGCCAACTACCTGGGTGCCAGAGAGCCCAGCTTCCCGGCTTTCATGGCCATTCATCCCTGCTCATGCCAGAGCAACTCTAAACCACGGGTACCCCCTCCCAGACATGTCCTAAGCACATGAAAACAACCAACACACAAATGCACCTGGAATATCCTCTCCTTTTCCTCATACAGTTCTTCCAGCTTTGATCTCAGTTGTTCCTTTTCTTGAAACGCTTTAGATTCCAAAGTTCTGGTTCGCTCGACTTCCTCGGCCATTCTAAGGCAGTCCATCTCTTTGTTCTGAAGGGCACTCTGGACTTCTTCTAGGCTGTAACAACAAATAGCGTTTTGTGGGATTCCAAAGGAACATAATTACAACAGTATTCAAATGAGACATTTTTCACCCAAGCCCAGAATTTTGATTTGAAAGCGTCACAAATATTCAGCCCTCCCCTAGAGACAGCATAGGGAGATATAGCAAGGGATGCAGATAGGCTTCTTTTGTTATTTTATCCAAGACTTTCATTTTGGAAAACTCCTCAAACCATTTTTTAAATAATAAAAATTTAGAACGGAAACTTCTGGATCTGGCTCCTCTGGAGCAAATGTAACTTAAGTATTATTATAGTCTGCATGGTTTATTCAATGCCCCATATCTTAATTCTTTTGGATTTCAAAAACTGGTTCTCAGACCATAGGACACCAGTCATTTCTTCAAGGATGTGCTATTCAGAATGCATACACTATACAACTATCAATTGAAAAGAAAAACGAGGAACAAAGTTATCATGGAATTACATAGAAATGCACTGTTTTAATAAAACTGTGTGAATCCTATAAGCTGTCCAAAAGAAACAAGTACTTTTTACTGCATTTTTATGCATATGGAATAGAATGATTATTCTTTATGACATCATACTCAAAATTTAATGTGCCATTTAAGGCAAGCTCATTTCAGGAGCAGTGTTTTCAGACTACATTCCGCGGAACCTCAGAAGAACAGCATGGGGAGTAGGCACTGAT